TGAATTAAATTTTAAAAATTTGTTAGGAATTCTCGGGTTTTGAAACCATGCGGAAAATGTCTAGGCTTCGTGAATTTGAAATTCTGTATTTTGCCTCAAAACTTTTTGTTCTGTAAATACTGGTTTTTTTTCAGTCAACACAATCTACAAGCGTGTAATTTCATGTTACGCTGAACTAAAGCATTCGAACAAAAATTTTTTATGCTTTTCAGGTCAACAGCGAATTTACTGACTGGGCCGAGCAAGCTTGCTTTGACTATACCGAAGCACTGGTTCGTCTCAGTGAGCTCTGGGAATTATGCCATATTCCGGACGTTGAGCGAACCATTCCACGTGAATTTAATCCGAGTAAGATACATTTTTTGCATTAGCACTGAAGTCGATAGGTTGGCACAGGAGAAGTTACGGCGGGTCGCGTCGTCTTTTGGGCAGAGATACGTCTCGGTAAAGTTCAAAGATTACTGGCAGATATGAGATTTGCACGGCGTTAGCAAAAAATAAAAATCGTTAGCAAAAATCATCTGTTGAATTGTACTTTTATAGGCTTGGCGTTTTTCCACGCCATGGCACACGAGTGGAACTTTTTGAGAATATTATCGTCTAGTCTTTGCGAGAAGCAAAAGCACTAAGAATTTACTCGACTAGCAGCACTACCCGCTGACAAAAGGGCAGATGATTTCTTCTTGGCTTGCGCAGGAGCAGAGTGATGGTGGCTTTGACCCTTTGGCATGCGTTAGTACCAGTTTTATCATTTGAGCCGACCATAAAGAGACCGATTATCCCACGGGCAAAGTCAAATCTTCATTCTTCGGTATTAATGTAGCACTATTTGTCACTGAGCCATGCATGCCAGAATTATTTGGTTATTCCTCCTTTTTTTTCAGCTCTGCATACGAGTCATGACATTAAGCAGGCGCAAGAACAAGTAAAAATATTGGAAAAATTTCTTGCCGATCGAGCGGAGGTATACAAGAAATTTAAAGAGTGGAAGGAACTTTGGGCTGAAAAAGTGGAATTTGAGAGCAAGGCGAATGACAAGTCGCGATACTACAATCGTGGTTGCCAGCTGCAGAAGGCCTTACAGGTGCGTAGGTTGTTTTGGTTGTAAGTTGTTTAGGAGTTAGGCATGTCACGAAATCATGGTGCGATATTTACGGCTTTTTCGGTTGGTCGGGCATAGATTACTCTCCTTTTACGAAAAAGAACCGACTCACTGGACGCAGCTGCTTGGTTTTTTTTGTGATCCAGCTTGTATTTATCGTTTCAGTTTCATGCGCTTTTCATCTCGTCACAGCTTGTCCGTCTGGTCATTTGTAACTTCGTAAGTATATCGCGGAACACTCAGAGAAGTCGGCCATTAAACAGCCACAGAGAAAAAAAGGGAGGGGTGTGTCTTATCTTGAAAGGCAGATACACAGTAGATGTGCTGTCACACTGAACAAGCGACATGAGGGCCGGTGGTGTAGTGGTAATAAACCACGTCCGGACGTAAAGGGGACTGGTTCGATTCCCTGCTGGTTCAGGACGGTTTTTGAGAAAGGACTCCGTTCACGACAAGCACCGGTTTTTGCTTGCTTGGCAATGGATTTCTTTTTCTGTGTCCGAAAAAATGAAAAATGTATGCGAGCAAGCAAGGATTTCCTTCACTTTTCTGAATTTATTCTTCTTTTTCAGTCGATTTCTTTACTTTGCAGCGACAAAAGGTTATTGAGCACCGACTGCCGATTGTACAAAGGGAGTTGAAAGAAGAAGTGGAAAAATACGAAGCGACACACGACAGCCGGATTCAGATGGATGGCCTCACTCCCTGCGAACATATCGAGGCCCTTATTGAGCAACATAAAGCAAAGGGATTGGAACGAAAACGAAAGGTTTCAAATTCTAAGCTCCAGTGGCTTCTCTTAGAACGTAAATCTGGGGAGGGCTCAAAAACACCGATATTTTGATCGATTTATTCAAAATCACCGATATTTTGATCGATGATTTTTTTTTTTTTGGTTGTTTCAGACAGTCTTTAAATTGTTTCTGCACTTGAACACCTGTGAAAGCGTAGTGGATGTTTCAGAAGCAGGCAGATGCATCGGCTGAAAACCTATCAACCGTAGTTACGCCGATGAAACGTGGTGCTCCGTCAACTTTCGCTACTCCATGTTCTTCCGCCAAAGTGGCCAAGGTTCGACCCCTTAAACGGTGCAGTCAATCGGCTTCGAAGGTGCGCTAGCCATTATTTTGCTGTGTGTGCGCTTTGGCTTGAGCGGCTAACTATTTTCATACTACTCAGTGGTGGCAACTAACTGATTTTCGCGTGGATCAAATAATGGCCGATTTTTGCACCAGCAAAATTTAGCGCTTAGCTAGCTTTGGATTTTCTTTCTCGTCGTTTCTGGGCTTTAGTAAATTTCGACGCCAGCAGTTTTGTCTAGAATATTTGACTTAGCTATAATACAAGTTCCATTTAAGTACATGTGAAGCTTTAAAAAATGCGCATCCCAGTTTTTTTTTTGAAAATTTTTCATAGTTGAAATTCAAAATGCTACGCTTAAGATGTATGATTTACGCTCGAGAACGCCGTCAGTGTGTGCAAGTAATATTAGCTTGCACTCAATCATAACTCCTGTTCGGCCACCAACGGTAAGTTTTTTTTGATTATGACTCATTTTAATTCAAATTTTACTTTTAATCTAAATTTCTAAGTTCATTTTAACATCCGCTATAAATTGTCCTGAAAGAAGTTGGCAGCTTTGTTTTAAGACAGAAGCAAATATGCGCCACAATTTTCAGCCGAAGATCGCGAGCTAGCTAATTTTGGTTGTCTCAGCCTGCGGAGGGTAGTTTGGCTTTTCGACCCCAATAATTTCAGCTGGCGAATTCGTTCCTATGACAGTTGAAAATTGCTCGAGCGCG